TGACCTAAACGTGCAACCCCGACCACTCCGTAACAACCTCATGCTGAGACTGCCACTGCGTTGCACGAACTACGGGGCATATGGTGCGATTTGCGGACTACAGCGCAGGCTTCCAAAAAGTACAGCCTCCTCGCGACAGTTGGTTTATACCTGAATTGACTGTTGCTTTGTGTGCTTTACTACCGCTTGCTACCGTACGTTCAGATCTGAATTCGAAGTGTATTGGTAACAGCGCACGCACGAACGAATGAAAGCTGTATTAGAACAGTCGCATCTATACCCGCTTTGCTAAAATCATCGTGCTTGGAACGTAGTGAACCGAATGGGCTGTATTTATGCATTTCTTTATGACCAGGTTCTCAATGTTTCTGTCGTCATAACAGCCTTCACAAACCGACGACATCCCTCAGCTTACCCAAGTGGCTGTCACGAAAAGGCTGTCACGAGACATTATATACAATTGATATACGGCAGTGGAGTATGGAAGAAACCCAGAAGAATGATCCCGAACAGATATGTCGGCCCGATGTCGGATCAATGTAAGGTCATTTTATGGTCGACGTCGGCCAAATGTCGGGTCGATGTCGGGTCAATTCTGTGTTTATGTCAGGTCAATGTCGGGCCAACATCGGGTTGGGGTTTGGTAGAAGTCAGGTTGGTGTCGGGTAGGCTTATATTTTTCGCCGGAGACCATGCGTTAAAAAAAAAAATATCGGATGATAATTTTGCAATGGGCAGCACGAACGTGATAGCAACCGAACGAGCTCCGGCGCCACACTGGTAGTGTAGTAGCAGTTTTACGACATACAAACAAAATTTCAAAGACAGCAGCAACGAATCGGCAGTTTGACGGACTGCTTGTTGTATGTACGAGGAACGTTACGAATGACCATCCGAGGCTGTCATAGCCGAACGAACAAAATACATGACTAAGAACAAGCTGTCGTGAACAGCACAAGACGGCAACGTTGCATGTCGTATAAAAGCCTCACTGTGGGCTGTCGCTTATAGCTCAATCTCAAGGCTGTCGTAGGAAAAAGAAAGCGACAGCCGTTGGAATACTGTCATGAGGCGGTACTTTTGGTATGCCTGCTACAGCGTGTGTTCAACAGAGTCGCATCTGTATTCGACTTTCACCTCACACGTGATGCGCTTCGTCGGAGATTCTCATCTGTTTTCGCCGGCCGCAGTGACTGACAGAGAAAATTAGTGTATTTCCATTTATGTTTTTTTACATTCTGACCATGTTGCTTTGTTTTTCTTTCTGTGATTATTTGACATGTAATTTTACTATTATTATTATTATGATTAGTATTATTAACATCATTTGGGCTACAGCCAGCCTGTTGATGTATGGCAACAATAAACGCATTACCTTATTTTACGTAAAAAAACAGCTGTTTCGTGTAAAAAGAACATTGCGATGAAATACGAACACCACTATGCATTTCCACATTTCACTAATACCAATAAGCCGGTTGGGCCAGACCTTATATAATTGACATCGGTATAAGAGAGGAGAGGACTGGCTGGTTTAAACCAAGGTGACTACATATAGGTGTTCTAATGTGTCAAATTCATGATTCAGCCATGTTGGATTTTTGTATGGGACAGCGACCGAGTTTGTTTACAATTTGCTCTAAAACCGCACTTTTCCCCCCCGCGACCCCCTCGCCTATATAGTGACAAAGCTGTATCACCATTTATATACTCACCATGGTTTAAACCAAACGAACTGTCAAAGCCAGAGCCAATCGAGCAGCGCCTATCTTGATTACATTGCCAGCGTTGCTAGAAATCACCTAGGCATAGGTTGCCAAGGCAGTTTGTTTTGAATCCGCTTCTCTCTTATACTAGACCCTCTCTACACGGTGTTTCGCGAAAACCCATTAATGGGTATAAAAATACCCATTTCCGCTAAAAGTGCCCCTCCTCATTTAATGGGTAAACTATGGTTTACTCATAAATGGGTAAATGGGTGGTCTGTCAATAAATGGGTGTTTTTTCACCCATTTTCTTATATTGTGTTTACCGTAAAATGGGTGAAAAAATACCCATTTTTACAAATGGAGGATGCAAGCGATCGTTGATGTAAAAATGTTTTTAAAACATTGAAAATAAATGCAGGTGTTCCGCTCAAATTTTTCACGAAACATTATAATACAAGTTATCCATTGTATTGACTTATCCGTAAGCCTCTCCAACGTTTTGGATTCTAACATTTTCCGGAGATCGTTGCTGCGGACAGTAACTGTTTGCATCGAGGTTTGCATTCCCAATGAGCCGGTGACGGAAATGAGACGATAAAATTTCGAAGTGTTTTTTCACCCATTAATGGGTAAAAAATATACCCATTATTCAACCGTGAACTGATTCTTTAAATGGGTATTTTTTCACCCATTTTAGGATTTCAAAATTCCCCCATTTTTTGACAGCTGCATACATGGTTTGAAAATGGGTATTTTTTTACCCATTAATGGGTTTTCACGAAACACCGTGTATGGGAAACCAGAATTTCTAGACTAACATTTGAAAAGGGCGTAACTTCAAAATGTAAACAAACCATATTTTGCCACATATAGAGAGAACAGTTCACAAACTACTCGATAAACACGAAAAAGTAGAATAAAAAATCACTTCATATTATCAAAAACGTTTCTTCTTACATGAAGCATTTCCATCTTTCAATTCTATGATGCATCTGGTTGCTACACCTTGCACCAGAACTACGAATTATATTGTTTTAATCTGCCAAACGTACTGATTCTATAGTATCTTTAAGCCCGATTCATTTGAAATACATCCGATTGATATTTCACGTGTAAACAACGAACAAAAAGAAGACCAAAAAAAATCTTCGGATGTAATTCCACCCTCACAAAATTTGCGAACGAAGAACCAAGGCGGAACAACAAACAAAAAATCCCGAGGGTGTATTTCCACGGCGTATCACCAGTGTTGGGAGTTCAAAGGATGGAAGATCCGGGGAGTAAAAACATGGGCTTATGATGTTTTATTCTCAATTTCACGACAAAGAAAACTTTTTACCATATGTTAAGCTTATAAAATCATCCAGAAAATGGAAAGTCGTGGAATAGGATTAATTTTTAGGTCATCAATATTCGGAAGCGATTTTTTCGAAATGGCCCTTTTCAAATGTTAGTCTAGATTTAATGCTTAGCATTCAGGTTACCGGGGTACCCTTCCGACCATAAAGATATATAATATTACAAGAGAAAATTCTTGGTCACCGGATGGTGGATTAATCAGGGTTTTGTTTTACAGATAAACGACGTTTTTCATATAGGGGAATTTACGTATTCTCGGCAACCTAAGCAGCGACCTTCTTTCTATAGCCTTTTTTATCTAAGGAACGCACACATATGCAGTATTGGTTTGTTTACAATCTTTTGCTGCCAGCTGCTCTAACAATTCAGTGTCAACATTTCAAAGGGGCGTAATTGCTTTTGTAAACAATGACTTTAGCCGTCAATTTCTCGCGAATGATATCTTACCTCTCCAAAATTACAATGCTAGCTGGTAGAGGAAACATTCCTCTACCTGGTGGTGTTATTATTTTTCATGAGTGAGCTTTTATTTGCAAGAAATCTATGGCTAAAGCCATTGTTTACAAATACAATTACGCCCCTTTGAAATGTTGGCACTGAATTTCAGTCGAAAGAATTGTCAAAAACTGTTTTGAAACGCATTTACAAAGCTCCAATCTTCTCTAGTGAGAGCGAGTATTGTCGGCAACCAGTTTTTCTTCGGCAACCGTTCCATTTGAACTGCATGTAAATCTGCTGTTCTATTATCGGCAACTCGAAATCAGCTACAATTTGTAGTGCGTGTGTTTCATTTCAAGAAAACCCTGCTAGATTGCTTTTTCTCAGTGGTAAAAATATAGTCAAATTGAAGCTGAAAGCATAAAGAATCGTTTGCATGCATTCAGCGAAGTGTTTTCGTAAGAAAATCCAGTGAAAATAGTGTTTCAATTTGTGTTGCCGAAAATAGTCTGTCATGCCGAAGCCGTCATTTCCCCTACCTATATTTATTGAAACGATAATCCAATACCTACTGTGGGGCTTATTACGGATGTCACTTCACGGTGAAAAGTTGTCACTTGTCGTCACGGTGAAGTGACTCCCATTTGATTTGTACGGCAATCACGGCTCTTATAGTACGTTCAGACTACAGAGTTATAACATGTTATAGCGCTATCTTGATGGTGGTTTCTGTGTTGCAATTAGTTGACAACCGTTATAACATGTTATAACTCTCCAGTCTGGACAGCGTTTTATTCTCAATATCACTTCCTTATCACCGTGTAGTGACACCCGTAATAAGGCCCTGTAACATTGGGTAAGAACTAAAAAAACATCCATTGCTAGGTGCAGAGCTAATTACCTCTCAAAAGCTCTCGAAAGTCACGCCGCCATACGGCAATTCCTCGTTGAGCTTCGATTGGTTTCCTCGGTTTCCTCGCGCTTTTCCTCGATCGTTCGCCAACTCCGAACGGTTTAGTAATTTCGTTCAATAGTACTGCAATCCACGTGTTCGCCACACCATCGCCATCTGCGGTGGAGCCGAGAGAGCCCATTTGCAGTTGTGAATCATTCAATTAAAAACTTTACCAAGCTGACTTAGCATCTCTTTCGACGCGCTCTTCTCCAGCTCAAGATTTGCTTTGGAATATGTTGTTTGTTTCGATTATACTCCACCAAGCGTGTGGTACGCTGCCCACTCTGCCCACTCTGCTCACTCTGCCCCATAGTCTGTCTGTTTCTAGACAACTGTTATTATTTAATTTACAAATTTTGGCTTCCCGCTCTGCAGTCTGCGTTGCTGCTGCTGAGCGTGGTTAAAGCGGTGGAAGAAGTTTTTCTTCATTGTTTAATGAATATTAATTAGGTATCTAATGTTTGTTTTGGTTTTATTGATAAAGCGAGCTTTACGTACGATGTTTACTAACTGCCACTTTCGTATCTTCTTCTTTGTAGAATAACGATGGATCGTCGATGTGCCTGGAGCTGGCACTGGAGGGCGAGCGTTTGTGCAAATCCGGCGACTGTCGCGCCGGGGTGGCTTTTTTCCAGGCGGCGATCCAAGCCGGTACCGATGATCTGCGGACGCTGAGTGCCATATACAGTCAGCTCGGGAATGCCTATTTCTACTTGGGCGATTACACCAAAGCGATGCAATACCACAAGCACGACCTCACGCTGGCTCGTTCGATGAATGACAAACTGGGCGAGGCGAAATCGTCCGGCAATCTAGGCAACACGCTGAAAGTGATGGGACGTTTCGATGAGGCTGCAATCTTCTGTCAGCGGCATCTGGCCATCGCTCAGTCACTCGGTGATCGCCTCTCGGAGGGTCGGGCTCTATACAATCTGGGCAATGTGTATCATGCCAAGGGCAAGCAGCTCGGACAGAAGGATCCGGGGGATTTCTCCGATGAGGTGAAAGAATCGCTAATGCAAGCCGTTGAATACTATCAGCAAAATTTAACCCTCATGAAGGAGCTGGGCGACCGAGGAGCTCAGGGACGAGCTTGTGGAAATTTGGGCAACACATACTACCTGTTGGGAAACTTTGAAACTGCCATCGAACATCATCAGGAAAGACTACGCATTGCACGGGAATTCGGCGACAAAGCAGCCGAACGACGGGCGAACAGTAACCTTGGAAATTCTCATATCTTTCTCGGACAGTTTGAGCAAGCGGCCAACCACTACAAGTAAGTTGCTTCTTCTAAAAAATGTTTTATTTTCATATTCAATTAAAACATACAATAAATACGAAAATTTTGCGAGTTTCACCAAAATTTGATCCACGCCCAACTGCAATGGAAAAAAGTATATTAAAACATGCTTGTTACTTACGGACAGTCACCATACTATTTACGCGCTAGAACCTTCGGTAGGGCTAGATCCTTGTACGGTTTCATTCTCCGGTTCGGACGTTGACGCTGCTGCAGGCGTTGTTACCACGGGAACTTGGCGATCTTCGGTATTTTCCATCTCTATTTTAAGCGGTCGATGCGGTAGCACTTCCTCTTCGCTATCGTAATCCTCCTCCTCCTCCTCGTCCGAGCCTTCTTCCTGGTTATCATCGGCTACATTCATTGCATCAACGGCGGGACGCATACTAGTCCTTGAGTGCTTCCTTGACTTAGCGGAACGCTTCGTACGCGTTGATGCCTTACGCTTTTTAGTGCGACCGCTACCACTTGGCCCAGCGCGTTCCGGTTGATCTTCGGGCCAATTGCAAACGAGCTTCTCGGTCAGCCGGTAGTTGTTCCTAATCTTCTCTATCACTCCAGTTGTACATAAATCGGCGAGGGCCTTTTCGACAATTGACTCGACCCGATTCGCTGGAAGGGACCGGAAGTTCTTCAGGTAAACGTACGCAACGAGCTCATCCAATTTGCAGACTAAGGGGGGGGGGGGGGGAAACAAACAATTCGCTACGTTCCAATTCATATTTAATTGCGAAATGGAAGTTAGGGTACTTGCCTCGTTTTTTCTCTTGCGAGTAGTAGGACACTCCACGGATCACGTTCCGGTAGAACTTTTTAGGAACTTTGATGGACATCTTGAGGAAGCTTCTATTCCGGTGAAAATTTAGGACTTGAATGACAAATGATCGTGTGAAGGAAGAGGCGTAGGTTGCTATGATTAATTTTCATGGTCAAAGCATGCATAGGGGACGGCCCCTGCGTAGTGGTTCACATTCATGCCTGTCACGCCAAAGTCACGAGTTCAAATCTCTCATCCTTGAACAAGTCACGAATGACCCAAAGGTTTAAAAGTGATTCTAAATTTAAAAAAAAAACAGTTGAAAGAGTTCTACCGATTTTTCATCGCACTTCAGTTGTTATTTTCACATCGTTGGTACTTGAGCGGTCGGTTTTCATCTCTTTTTGCTAGTGGTGGGGGGGGGGGGGTGAAGGGACACCCCTCACCATCCCTCTCCAAAGGGGGAGTTTGGTAAAGATAGATGAAAAAACCGATTTGTACCTTCCTTAAAAGTTGTCCTATGCTATTCTACTATCTATATGCAATTTTCACACTGCCGTACTCTCACGGAACTATCAACCCTATACTTTCATCTACTCCATCTATCGTATAAAAATTACCACTACAGTCTGTTATTTGAAATTAGCATCTTCAACTATGTAAATCGTTGACTTCACGCAGAAGTAATACTAAACATATAGTCAAAGTGTATCACTTATACCCTGGACAGACTAAAACGCTGTCCAGACTGGAGAGTTATAACATGTTATAACGGTTGTCAAAAAATTGCAACACAGAAACCACCATCAAGATAGCGCTATAACATGTTATAACTCTGTAGTCTGAACCCAAGAGAGAGGAGCCAGCTCAAATGACAGATGCTTTGTTTTGGTTGTCTTCTTCTTCTTCTTTTTTGTTGAAAAAATTTTTGATGGAAAGAATCATTCAAGCGAGGATGCGCGTTTGTCACTCGGTTTGTTGATATAGTTTTGCCGTCGGAGTGTTCAAACTTGTCGTGAACTGTATGTTGTGAGCAAGTATCTTACTGCAATTCTGAAGCTAATGCTATGTATCATGTTGCTGGATATATCATGGGTAGTATTAGCAGGAACAGTAATGTTTGTGAAACTTGCGTCAACCAATGTGTTTTGCCCAGCGAATCCAAACACATAAAGCAACCAACGATACAGACAAAACGGTTGCTACGACTACCATGACAAACTCGCTCTGTAACAAAGCTCGATCCGAGTGGTAGAAGGATAATGATATATTGCTTGCCTGCTTTGTTGCAATATACACGGATGAGGACATAGCTTGATATCAATCGGGAAAAGACATAACAAAAAAAACCCATTAACACACGTGTATCATCTTCGGCTTTACTTCGTGAAGCAGCTTGCCAACAATTTGCTCGTTTCCTTCTACCGCCCCGAATGAGTTGGGTCGCACGAGCTGCTTGTCATGAAAAAGAACGGTGAAGATTATATCATTATTGTTTTCCACTTCTGACATAGCGTTATTATTCGGTTCGTTGATCGTTTGTTATTTTGTCATTTTGAGATATTTTTGATTCCTTGGTTTTGCCTGTTCCATATGATAAAAATTATGGAAAATATTCATTTCTACTGGGCATAGCTCGTCATGGCTTCCGTTTTTGTTACACGATCCATATTTTATTTTTTTATTTGTATGGAAGAAAGCATCAACCAGCATTTTGAAAATCACCTCCAGTTAACCAAGCATCAATTTTCTTCTCTTGAAAAGTCTTTAAAATCATTAACTTTGGAAATTCCTGGTTGCCACAATTTAAAAACCAAAATTATCAAAAGGTTTTTGAGATTCAAAGCAAAGTCCAATCGTACGAAGAAATCGCGTAAGCGAAAATATGATAGTCGAAGTATGCTAAATTGAAACAAAAACTTCAAATAAGAATCAAGAGATAACACAATAAATATGTCTTTATTTCACAAATTAACAATTATTTTAGTCAGAAATCTGAAATAGACCACCCACTCCTTCACAGTTGTCGCCAAATAGTCAATGTATTGTGCAAAAAAATGGTTATTTTTTAGGAACTCGGAGTAGCAGCGTCCGAATACTTGAGCAACATTGTGCATTAGGTACGACTTCTAGCTTTTTCGGCATCAAAATGATTGTTGCTTTTCATGATTTTCATACTTCTAGTGGATAGACGATAATCAATTTTTAATTACGTAACGATTGTTTACTTCAATCCCTACAAGTTGTCTCTATTTCAATGGAAAATAAATCCTTTGCGTGAAAACTACTAATAACACCCTCTCCCTGCTTCATAATAAGTAACAGAAACGCCGAACGGCCAAAAACATTTGTATTCTGCACCGTCATTAACTGCCATTTCAAAAAAACTATCTTGAAAAAAAAACAATACGCAGATTTTTTTCCGATTAACAATGCTTTCCCCACTTTATTGAATCAAAATTTCGGTTCGCAGTGACAGATCATGACTGGTTCGCATTGACGTTTACGCGATCGGCTTCAGAGCTAGCTGGCGCCTCTCTCTTGGGTCTGAACGTACTATAAGGCTTATATCATGTAATATAGGCTGTCTTGCAATGAGCACTCATTCATTGGATTTCCAGTGAAAACTAGATGTATGAGTGTTCATTGCAAGACAGCCTATATTACATGATATAGGGGAAATGACGGCTTCGGCATGCCAGACTATTGTCGGCAACCCAAATTGAAATACTATTTTCACTGGATTTTCTTACAAAAACACTTCGCTGAATGCATGCAAACGATTCTTTATGCTTTCAGCTTTAATTTGACTATACTTTTACCACTGAGAAATAGCAATCTAGCAAGGTTTTCTTGAAATGAAACACACGCACTACAAATTGTAGCTGATTTCGAGTTGCCGATAATAGAACAGTAGATTTACATGCAGTTTAAATGGAACGGTTGCCGAAGAAAAACTGGTTGCCGACAATACTCGCTCTCACTAGAGAAGATTGGAGCTTTGTAAAAGCGTTTCAAAACAGTTTTTGACAATTCTTCCGACTGAAATTGTTAGAGCAGCTGGCAGCAAAAGATTGTAAACAAACCAATAAAGGGTGTCCACGATGAAATTGCCACACTATGAAATTGCTCTAACTTTTTAACCGTTGGGTAGAATTTAATGAAAATTTGGGTGGATTTAGTTCATATTGCATTATTTACATCCTGCAAGTTTTAAAGTCCTGTGATCAAAACTCGCGGAAATGGAGTCGAAAGAACAGCTCGTGCGTGATAAAATCTTGAGCATTCATCACGAGAACAAGGATCTCTCGCATCGTTCCATCGCTAAAACGTTGGGAATCGCGAATTCCACGGTGTCGCGAGTGATTAAGCGGTTCGAGGAACGGTTGACCACCGATCGGAAGCCCAGAAGTGAAGGAAAAAGTATTCCGTACAACACCAAAAATCACAACCGCGTAGTTGGGGCCTTCAACCGAAATCCGAACGCCTCCGTTAGGGATGTGGCTAAGAAGCTGCACCTAAGCCGAAGTTTTGTCAAGAAGGCCAAAACTAAGGCTGGGCTTCGAACGTTCAAGGTACAAAAGGCCCCTAATCGCGACGAGAAGCAGAACAAGTCCGCCAAAACCCGTACCAGGAAGTTGTACCTCAACATGCTGACGAAAGTTGAATACTGCATCATGGACGACGAAACATATGTGAAGGCCGACTTCAAACAGATCCCCGGCAACCTGTTTTTCACGGCCAAGGATAAGTTCAGCGTTCCGGAGCATGTCCGCACTCAGAAGATGTCCAAATTTGCGAAGAAATTCCTGGTTTGGCAAGCCATCTGCACGTGCGGGAAGCGGAGTGCACCTTTCGTGACCCAGGACACGATGAACGGACAGGTGTACATAAAAGAGTGCCTCCAGAAGCGGCTGCTTCCTCTCCTGAAGGCCCACAACGTCCCAACAATCTTCTGGCCGAATTTGGCCTCATGCCACTACTCCAAGGACGTGCTGAAGTGGTATGCGGACAATAAGGTCAATTTCGTGCCGAAAATGTTCAACCCTCCCAACACTCCGGAGCTCCGCCCCATCGAGAAGTACTGGGCGATTATGAAGCAGCACCTTCTTAAACGACCTAAGGTAGTGAAGACAGTCGAAGAACTGAAGAAAGTATGGGTTTACATGCAAAAAACGGTTGATTCACAGGTTGTGCAGAATCTTATGGCCGGGGTTAAGGCCAAGGTGCGGGCATTTGCGTATGGACTGTAAATAAAATACGAGTAAAATGGTAAAATGAAGTTTAATAGTTATTTCTCAATCCCTGAAAATTTGATGGCAATCGGATGAAAACTCGAATTTTGCGAATCAATTTTGTGTGTGGCAATTTCATCGTGGACACCCTTTACTGCATATGTGTGCGTTCCTTACAGAAAAGGGCTATAGAAAGAAGGTCGCTGCTTAGGTTGCCGAGAATACGTAAATTCCCCTAAGTCATAGTCTGTCCGGGGTATTAGGTGCTTAAGCTATAGCAATAATCCCATATACGAAATAATACACTGAGGCAAAAGAACGTAAGAATTCCATAAGAACCACTTATGAATTTTAGACACGAGAAAATAATGATGATAAAAAAACAATAATACCATAGAGGTAACTCTAAGACCAGAAGGTCCCGAAGATACGACTCAGCTTTGGTACACTCTTCGGTCCCAGGCTAACCGATGCACCCCTCGAAATATAGGAAAATCCACAAGCCCCTCATTTTATCTGTAGAACTTTCATAGCGAATCAAAACAAACATAGTGTAGTACTAGAATTTCGATTAGAATGGGATACGTTAATCGATTTGCTTGGGACCAACAGGCTGGTCATGTAGTGAGCCAATTGAAAATCGTTACTTTCCACCGTTTGATAATACACAGCAGACTGGAAACCGAGCCATGGCCGTTGAGATTACGGGACCCGTGTGTTGACCATTCGTTTTTCCACGCTTTGGAAAATTAAATGGTTAAATGCGTATAAAAGCTACCTGATGTTAAACGAAAATCATTCATAAGTCACGCTTATGTAATTCATGTGTTGTTCATAAGTCGAGCCTTATGAAAGTCTTAAGTGTACTTGCCTCAGTGTACCAGTTATGGCACTACTCCATATGCTATATCTGGTTTAGCCGATAACTGAAAAATCAATCCGTTTCCATATTCGTGAACGGCAGCCGTGAAACTATAGTTCACGATCCGCGTGTAGAAGGAAATGCGCACCGTGAACAGTTCACGGCTCTTGTTCACGAATATGGGAACGGATTTTTTTTTTGTTGGTGCACCTCCCCTATGCTAAGACTAATCGATTTCAAACAACTTCATTCCAGACGCACCCTTTCGTTGGCGATGGAACTGGGAGAACGAGCCGTGGAAGCCCAGGCCTGCTACAGTCTCGGAAACACCTACACACTGTTGCGGGATTTCCCCACCGCCATCGACTACCACCAGCGCCATCTGGCGATAGCCCAGGAGCTGGGCGACCGCATCGGAGAAGCCCGAGCCTGCTGGAGCCTCGGCAATGCCCACTCATCGATCGGAAACCACGAAAAGGCACTCCACTATGCCAACTCTCACTTCCTGCTGGCCAAGGAGCTAGGCGATGTGGTTGGTGAAAATACGGCCAAAATGAACATATCGGATCTGAGAAAAATACTCGGCCTTCCGGAACTACCGGTGGACGGTGGCTCCGGGGTCCCAATTGAGAACGATACCCTCCAGGAACTGTCCAGCAGTCAAAATACTCATCTAAGCGGGGCCGGTCCAGTGAAATCCGGAACGAGCTTGTTGTCCAAACAGTACCGGGTACGGCGGCAGAGCATGGAACAGTTGGATTTGATCAAGGTATGTCTATTCCGCGCAATAAGTCCGATCGTTATCAGTTGATTATATATTGTAAATACGTTAATTGTTATCAGTTGCGCCGTTCCTTGCTAAACGCTGCACCGCATCTAGCATGATAATAATTAACCGACAAACAATGATAGCCCCGTGTGAAAGTTGCCCATCAAACAGTAATTTTCGACGAGCACAGTGTAATCACTCTTGCCTGTTGGGTAGATTCATAAGCGTATGCTATGTAGCTAGTTCACTTGTTCCCCCCTGTGAATAAACTGCACCAGTCGCGGTGTACGCTTTGATTTGGTGACACTACTTGTATCAAGCTCAAGCCTAAATAATCAAGTTAGACAGCAAACAATCCCCCTTATTTTCTCTTTCCGCCCGGAAAACATACCTACCCGACTGGGTAGGGTGGACAGGAATCGATTGGGTTTTCCCGTTCTAATTAATTTGCCATCTTTTCATACGATTTTGCAGCTGACGCCGGATGGCAAAAAGATGGTAAATGTACACGATAAGCAACAGTCAGCGGGACAACATCAGCAACAGCAGCAGCAGAAAGCCAGCCACAAGCAGAACGAGAACATTTTCAAAAACAACGACGAAGATTTCTTCGAACTGTTGACGCGATCCCAGAGCAAACGGATGGACGATCAGCGCTGTACGTTGAAGGTAAGTGATTGGATGATCTGTTTGAAATTCAGGGGGATGTAATCTGAGTTCAAATAATTTTAGTTGACGCATGCCGAGAGCGTGGACTCGGCTCGGAAGCCACTTACGCAGCACAACAGTAACGCGACAGCGGCAGCTAAGGACAATAGGTAAGTTTGATCAGTGCACATCGCATTATGGTAGCTCATAGTGCTAACCGTTAAACAAAGGAACAATTTAGTTATTCTGTTTAGGGACTGTTCGTAGGCTAGACGGTTTTTAGGGATTTTAGAACGACTATCGTAGACACTCACCAACATTATTCAACATTTGTTTATGTTCAGATATCTACCTACAGAAAAGTGAGGCAATTTCGCCAATGTGACAATGAAGCCGCCCGCTTAAAAATCAACTTATTGAACATATTTTACAAGAAATCTGCTGCAGGCTTAATGCTTGAACTCTACTTAAACTGTCCATTTAATTTTAGTCTAAAATATTAATTTTCTCTAGCGCGAATTTTCAAAAAGTGTTAGACTAGCTCAAAATGTCAAAACTGTTATAAGATTTTAGAATCAAAAAATAAGGCCTATCAGTAGTTTCTTAATATGCGTTTATATTCGTTCAGCTGCTATGTAAATGGTTATTGGTTTATTTACACGATGTTTTGCTAGTTTTCGATAAACATTAAAGTTTTTCATAACAAAATAATAAAATATATTAGGGGTAAGAGGGGCATAGTAAACAGATGGGGCATAGTGAGCATACCGTGCACCAGCTTGGACTTCCGGCCGTTCGGAACAAATTGGTTGGTGGTGTGTGTGTGTGTGTGTGTGTGTACAATCTAACCCCCACTGTCCGGCAGTGTTATTATGGAAGAAAACTGCTTTTTATTACCCTTAAATTAAAGCAGGTTTAGTCCGGGAGCTAGAGGTGTTAGCTCTATTGCAGCTCCAGTGACCCATTTCAGAATGCCTGGTAATTCACGACCACTCCGAGGTCACTTTTACTTACAATAAGCCCCGCATGTTCACTCTACCTTTATCAAATGGATAATGGTATCATAAACACACTTCCAGATTCAAAAATATTATTTCCAAATCTGGCACGTATATAGTTTTGAAATTTGTTCAACTGTATTAAATCGATTTGAATGGACATTTCTTACCAATTTTGTTTCGAATACCTCTTGATTCATCTGCTGGCAGCACTTACTGGCCCTTACCGGCGACCAACCCTTACTCAAATGCTTCAACTTCCCGGATGGCGTCCCGCTTGATTCACTCCATCTTGATGACCTTCTGTTTGCCTATCAGCCTCTTCCACTTTTCGTCCTTCAGATACAAATCCGGAATAAGATTTTTTTTTTTACACAATCAATTTTAGAGTTTTTTTAAACGTTCAAATTGATAAAAACCATAAAAACACAGAGACTTTTTTTTAGCAAAATCAAAACACGTCATTTCAATCGCGCGGCCTACTAGCTTCCTCGGAACAAATTGGTTGGTGGTAGGATCAAAATCATAATGATATTGAACCTACTACCAGTTGATTTGTTTCATGCAGCTGGAGATCAAAAGCCAAACTGCGGGATGCTCACTATGCCCCTCCTCCCCCTAAGTCCACTGATATTTCAAACAGTTTCTGCTTAAACTCTCCAATGTTGTATTATTCCTTTTATAAATAGAACTGCATCATATGAAATCAATCTGGGTGATCGCACATCGTCCGGAACAATGTACTCATCGATACTCAGTATCGGTCAGTTTTCACAGTTATCGAAAGTGCCTCTCCAGTTGATGAGATATTCATGTTGTGTTACTTCAATCTGCCAGGCGTTTCGTGGAGTCATCTCATAGCGGATTCCTGTAACCAGATCCTGATAGCTTTACATTTCACGCAGGAACAGCCTTCTCACAACTACAACAACTACAGCGCAGCAACACTTTATCAAATTAACCATGTACCTAGTTAATGAAAATGATCGTAATTTGGATCCCTGCTTCGTGAGCACACAGGACAGGGCTCCATTCATTTTCTCGGCTCCTTGTGCACTAACTAAGCTAGTTCCACATCACCCTCCTCTAATTGTCACTGCTGAGGCCAAACTCGTGCGTGATTTCGACGATTATCCTACTACGGTTTCTTATGACTTCCTTAAAGCTGACCACCGTAGCATCATAGATGTATTGTCTAGCATGGTATGAGAGAACATCCTTGATCCAGATGACGTTGAGGCTGCAGCGCAAACCTTTTCACATGTCTTGGCATATGTTATTGACAGACACGTTCCGAAAAGAATTCACCACAAAGTGTCTCAACCTCCCTGGCAGACGAGAGAGCTACGTAGGTTGAAGCGAAGACAACATCCGGAGAACTTTGAGATTTTGGCGTAATTGCTTTTGTAAACAAACACGTCAATCACCGATTTCGCGCGAATAAAAGAATTATCTCACGAACGGACTATACCAAATGCTAGAGGAACCACTCCTCTACCTGTTTGTGTTATTAGTTTTTATTGAGCTTTAATTCGCGAGAAATCGTCAAAGGACCTGTTTGTTTACAAAAGCAATTACGCCCTAATCTCGAAGTTCTCCGGACATATCAAGAAGACTGGCAACTCTTTCATTTTCTTATTGGAACGCTATGAGACAGGTACAGTCGCGTCAAAGGTAAATGCTTCGAACGAATTTGATGGTAAAGATTACATCCTCAGAAGAAAGGTTTGTGTGTATTTGCTCACTTTTCTATGCGTTGCTTTGCTTCCACCTTCACTCAACCGCAGCGCTACCGCTTGGATTCTGGAAAAGTGGTCAGTCTTCTTGATATAATGTCTTCGGTTGAAGTCAATCAAGAAAGTAGCATTGAGAAGATTTACGAAGTATCGTATGCTTCCTCTGAAACTAAATTATGTGAGGCTGAATCACATGTACCAGCGATTCAGTCGGGGATGTTTTTCAAGTTTCCAACGGGGCATCCAGCGCAAGCTTAAGCTACACCCGAAATCCTTTTGGAACTACGTGAACGAGCAACGCCTTTTTTCTGACAAGTTTGCCAGTGTATTAACTAATGAGATACTAACTGACAACCATATTAACCTGACTGCCAGGAACGTTCCAGTATACGATCAAACGCTGGGTGCAATTGATGTTAATGCTGAGATGATTTCCTAGGTCGCGACTCTGCTCTAGTCATCCTTCAATCTTGGACCTGATGGAGTTCCATCTGTATTTTTGAAGAGACATATTGCTAGCTTGTTGATTCCGCTTCATCGCCTGTTCCGCATGTCTCTCTCCAGTGGCATATTTCCATCCTGCTGGAAATTTGCCCTCATGTTTCCCGTCCTCAAAAAAGGAAGGAAACGAATTGTGGTTAACTATCGAGGAATTATATCGTTAAGTGCCGTGTCGAAGCTATTCGAGCTAGTGATTATGGAACCGTTGAGTGCTGATCAACATGGGTTTACTGGCGGTCGCTCTACAACCACCAATCTGCTGTGTCTCACATCGTATATAACAGAAAGCATGTCGGATCGGGTTCAAACGGACGTTATTTAGTCAGACCTATCCGAACCATGCTATTGCAATTGCTAAACTCGGCAGGCTCGGTGTATGCGGCAATCTTCTGAGTTGGTTTCGATCATATCTTACCGGTCGCCAACTAAAGGTTGCCATAGGAGATTGCAGATCAGCTAGTTTCTTCGCCACATCAGGGAAGCCACATGGGACCGTTTATTTTTATACTATACTTCAACGACGTGCATCTGGTCATCGAAGCTCCTCGATTATCATACGCAGATGACCTCAAAATCTTCCTACGAATCCACTCCATTGCTGACTGTCACTTTCTTGAACGTCAGCTGAATGTATTCGCTAGTTGGTGCAGTTTGAACAGAATGACAGTTACTTAACGACCCAGCGCACCTCCAGGGGTGCAAAGGGTCTTTGTGAAAGATTTCCATCCTGGGCGATTACTAGCTTTGGCCTTGACCTGTGCCCAAGTCAAATTTCGGTCAACGTTCTTAATTTCACTGTTTAGGCTCCGCCACCAAGAGCCTCTGGGTCTGCCTCTGATGCGATGTCCTGCTACACACTTAGATTTTTTTTGCCAAGATGGGCACCACCTATTTTGCTGGATCTCAGTGAAAAATTTGCCGAGATTCAGTTAACAAACGGGAATTTTTCCGAGATCTCGGCTAACAAACATAAATTTTGCTGAGATCTCAGTAAAAATTAATACCGAGCCTGTGCCATCCTCTCTTTAATAAAGCTTAAAAAAAAAACCGAGCCTGCTCGGTGGTGCCAATCTCGGCAAAAAATCTTAGTGTGTAGATTCCAGTCCAGTGCTTGCTTGCAGATTTCGTTTCCGCTCCGTCGTATTGTGTGACCGACCCACCTCCACTTCCGTTCACGAATTTATGTCTATCGGCTTCTGATGGCACAAACGATGAAGCTCGGAATTTGAGATCCAATTGTGAGGCCACCATGCAGGAACTATGTACCACAGGCATCGGTTGACAAACACCTGCAGCTTCTGAGTGTTCTCCGCTGATACACACCATGTTTCACTGGCCTATAACAGCACAGACTTCACGTTCGAGTTAAAAATTCGGATTTTGGTGCGTCGACTGATCTGATTCGGTCTCCATTCATTTCGCAAACTGGCAAAAGCAGCCCTCGCCTTCTTAATTCGTGCACCTATGTCGCTCGATATCTGGCTGCCAAGATATTGGAAGCTTTTGACTTTCTCCACTGCCTGCCCAGCTACCGTGAAATTGGAACGGGTTTTCGTGTTGACATCCAACGATTTGGTCTTGTTGGTGTTGATGGTTAGACCTGCTTCAGAGGAGCGTTCCACAAGGTCGACGAGCTTTTTTTTTTCCTCTGTTCGGGACATAAAACCACTGCGACCAGTAATTCGTATTAGTTTAGTGCATGTCGTATTACTCCATCACTATTGAGAAATGATGAAGTATTCGGCTTTGATACAGTTGTCATTCTTGGATTCATCGCAAGGAATCGATTCTAATTGAAAGGTCCCGCTATTTATACCCCCACCCTCCAAAGGCGCGCCCCTTTGTCAGTCAAAATTGGATTCCTTAGCAACAAAATTAAAGAATGACACCGATAGTGGCCATGCATCAGAAGCCTAGGCTTAACCACTTCAAACT